ACCCCTGAGTCTGGCCTCTGGTGTATAATATGAAAACAACCAATGTAGTTGTTTATTTCTGATAGGATTCTTCTGTGAAAAAGACCATTTCAGACTCATATTTGTCCTCTCTAAATTCTTTTTTAGGCATACGTGCTTATATCCTGTTTTATTAGTTGACCCATTTCTCACTAAGCAACTTCAGTTTGCTTTATTACAAACAACTACGCTATTTAAAAAAAGACTGCTGTCTTAAAGAAAATGTGACTATATTTTCTGAAGGTACTTTAAAGGCAAGAGGGGTTTTAGTTCCAACCTCCTTAGTTTCCCATGAAAACTTGGAATTAAACTATATTCTTCAGCTTTGATATCATCCATGCCTAATAACTTTTATATGCTACTGTGCATATGAACTGACGACAACAGTAATCAAACTGAATTGAATATATAGGAACCATGTTTTCTAAAACTATATATTTTCCATTTGTTTACAAGATCAGGGGAAAGGATATGTAACACCAATGAAAGTATAACATACTTTCTCTGCTCTCATAATGGCATTCCTCTGGCATCCCCCTGCTGTAGTCAGAACCACCAGCATTCTATTTAATTGCTTAACTATAACTGTAATTGTGAAGTAATTGTTCTCATGCTTCACCTTCACTAAATTCATAAGAGCATGACATTAAATTCCCAAACTGCAATTACAACTGTACATAGCCAGACAGAACCAGCAACAACACATGCTTTTCAAATAACAACAAAGGCTACTGTGAGATTCCACCAGACTAATAAAAATGACACATACATTTGAACTAACAACTGTAAATATAATTATGCTATTGTTGCAAATCATCTGAATAATTCCACATCGAACTCAAATGCAAAAATGTATAAGGTTACAAAGTTATTGTTGTTTTCATTTTGAAACACCCTGTAAATTCAACCAATTTCAGTACTGTAACATTAGTCAGATTCATAAAATGTTTAAAAGTCAGAGATGTGCTCTGTAATTCACAACTTTTTCAAACTGGAAGACTGGGTTATCACTGTAAAAAATACTCCTTGTACAAAGTAACCACTGTGACAACAAGCTTTGCACGGGCTGCTTGCTGCACAGAAAGAAAAGATGACTGCTCACTTCATTATACATTAGAAAAAGAAACATGAAAAATTAGCTTTGTTCTCTAATATTATACTAACATTATACTAGCAGAACAGTGAACTATTGAGACTCTTTGCCAATATTATTCTAGGCATATATTTTAATGTAGCAATGCTGCAGTTGCTCTCTCTAATATGCTTGCCAATTATTCCTTGAGGCTACTTGGATAGGCCCAAAATAAAGAAATGGCAGAAGACAAATGATACGAGATATGGTATGCAGAGTAAATATAATTGATTTTATTTTCAAATACACTGGTAGAAATGCTCTCTTGTCTGGAACTGAAAAATACAGCTTTAACAGCAGTGCTATTTAGATAAATGCATACTGCCTAAACTCAGAATTTAGGCATTTTTTTGTACACACCACCAAAAGTAGCCTATGGCGCAATGAACAATTTAACTAGACATAATGTGAGTTGAATGTGAATCCCTAGCTTACGTAAAGCCTACCTAAAGTTAAACCAAAAGCCTACCTAAAGTTAAACCAAAAAAAGTAGTATCCATAACAAACAAACAAAAACACTTTCACATTATCCCATATCTATTTATATGTAGATAATAGGCAGCTAAATTATTCATTTTATGCCACAATTATAATTCATCATATTTAACATTCTGATAGTTCTCAAACAGTGCTACATAACTTATACAATAGATTTTATTGTAAAGTTCTTAAAACAGACACGGCAGACTAAAAAAGCATCAAAAATTCAGATATGTATTTGGGCACAATCAGTACGCTTTTCAATATATACCAATCACCTGACAGCATTTCAGTCTATTGAAAAGTTTCAGCTTTCTAATATACTAATCACCTGACAGCAACAATCAATACTGAAGAGCTCAGCTATTACATTTCGATGAGAGAGGAGATTTGTGATGACTGCTGCATTACACCCTGAGGCTGCATTCACTTGGTTCTTATGACACCAAATACCATGGACAGCACCAAGGCCCTTGCAATATACAGGACAGCACTGAGAATCTACAGCACCATGGACAGCAACAGGCACCAGCAGCACTTTGAGCTGTCTTTCCACTGCTCCAATCTGCAAGATTTTAAACTTTGAATACAAACACTGTTGAGAAATTGACTCTCCATACCAAGGGTAGGCAACCTTTCCCCTTTAAGGGCCGAGGGACTCCAGCTCCCAGAATCCCAGGAGCTATTGGCCAACATGGAACTACTGGCTAACATGGCTGAGGCTTCTGGGAGCTGAAGTCCCTCGGCCCTTAAAGGGGAAAGGTTGCCTACCCCTGCTCCATACTAACACAAACCAGGCCCTCCTTTTCCTAGAACACCAACAGTACTCACTTTATCAGAAGGGTAAGCTCTCAAACTCTTTCCAAGAAGTTGCAAGGCTGAACTAGTATATGAATCCTAAAAGCTTTTTTTAATGGTCCCTCTGTGTATAAATAAAAGCACTACGTACAAAGTGAAATTTTAAAATTATCTTTTAACAGTTTATAACTGCAAACCCGGTTTCCTTGACAGACAAATACCAAGAGCTACAAGAGGGTACAACACAGCTACAAAGTTCCATTTTTCCCCCCTTCGGGTGCTCTAGTTTCTGTTTTTATTTTTAAATCAGGATTAGCGGAAAGAAACTGCAACAATTCCAGTCCACAGGATAAACATACTGTTCGCCCAAGTACAACTGCTCAGAACTAAAGTTGAGTTTCATTTACTTGTTCTTACGCTCAGGCTCTGGGGCTTTCCTTTCCCTTTCATTCTGCCCTTACTCTTCTTACATGAAACAAATGCACCCCGTTGATGCCAGGGGTGCTTACTCCAACATAATAAGTCTGCTCAGGATTGCAACCGACATTGCCACCGCAGCAACAGACAGGGCCAATGTGACAACACTTTTTGCAAGGTTCAAGGGACTGTGGCTAAGGTGAGAGGGAAGGGCAAGGAAGGTCCCTAAGCAAGCTTCTTGCTACCAACACTCTCCTTCCCGAGTTGAGGGCAGAGTCTACTTGCAGCAGATCCACTTGGAGCTCATTCCCACTCCAGCCCACGCAAAGCAGAGAGAGGAAGAGCCCCCTGGGACCCCCTGCCTTGCCTTGCCTTGCCTTGCCTTGCC